CACATATAGCAAGACATATGTTTTTAGTGGAGCAACCGCGTCAAAAATAATTTTGAGGTTCACTGCAGCAAAAGCAACTGAAACTTGCCTTTCATTGCCAGAAATCGTCAATTAGATCGATTTTTCACAGCTGTCCCTTCTGATAAGTTTGACACATCGAATATCATTCTAAACATTTTGTTGCATCCGAGTTTTGGGTATTTAAAGCTCAAAATTCACGGATTTGATGTGAGGCGGCGGCGCCTGCAAAATCGCCGTGGTCCCACGCGGCGCAAAAACCCAAAACGCGCGTTGTCGTCAACGTGTTAATAAAGGTATGGTATAATTTCGAAAAAAAAATAGAGAAAGCAAAGAGGCAAGAAAAGAGAGCCTGTCAGACAGAGGTTATGTTGTAATCACGAGCCTATTCATGTTGAAGTCACAGCCTATTCAAGTGAAGTAAAAAGTGAAGTAGTCCAAAATAACGCTCCAACACTTCAAACTTATTGGACCAGATATCATCCCACGATGTAGGGAAAGTAACTCACTAATGCTTCAAACATTTGCGCACACACCACATTCATCTAGGCGGCTTTCGCGGATAAAGAACTCACTATACCAGCGGCTGACCGTGACGGAGCCCTGCACCAGTCGACTATAGTGCCCGCTCGACATGATCCGTGTGTGAGTTCAAGTGTATGGGAGGTTACACGGAGGTCCAATGAGGGAAGAGTGTTCAAGGTTATTAAAATTTCTAGCGTTTCTCCATTTTTTCTCCTTTGATGCTTCCTCCAAGTTCACCATGCAGATAAACTTCGTAAAAAGAAATGGACCACACGTCCGCTACGCTCACAAGAGAAGAGATGATATAACACGAGACAGGAGGTATGAGGAGTCGTATAGCATATCTCACAAGCCATACAAAATAGGTTCAGCTTTTGGTAGAAGACGGGTCAATGTCAGGCGACTCGGAGAACCAACGCAACAAATCCAGCGAGTATAACCAATCAGCCAGCACAGCACATTTCGATTGTTCCATCCACGTAGCAGAGCACTATTCCATTGACATGATCAAGAAACGCGCACCCGAGTAGAGGAAAAGGCTCGAACTAGAACACTGGAGCGAACGATTAGAAATCTTACCCAAAGTGATAAGAAAGTTTATCTTTTTTCAACCTCTCACGAAAAACTGACACTTTCCTGGATTCAAGGACCTCAGACGAGAGCATTTCCAACCATTTCGAGCCGCGGAAAAACAGAGAGTTAGCAACCAGTAATTGCCGCCTTCTTTTTACTCGCACACAGTACAATCCAAGAACATTACTCCGACCTCGACGGGGTAAAAAAGTCCAATATTTACTGGCCCTCAACTTTGTTTCATTTCTGAGTACTTTGAAGCAAAAAACAAGATCAGAAAAAACCCGACGATATAACAAGCTTTTCAGTTTCAAGATTAATCTTTCCTGATAGCTGGGCATAGAAGAGTAACAATTTGAGAAACATCTATGAATTAGAACCCTCGTAAACACTTGTTGAACTTTCTCTACTTTTGCCCTGGATTTTTTTGTAAAAGGGCTCCAGATTTGAGAACCGTATTCTAAGATTGGGATTACGTATGCTTTGTACAGTTTGAGGTAGATAGAGACTTCAGCGCTCTGAATGTTTCTGAGAATGTGGTAAAAAGTTTGAAAAGGCTTTCTTCACAATCAGATCAATATGAGCATCGAACCTCAAATCGTCTCTGAAGTGAATGCCCAGGTCGCGGACCACATTCAGACAGGAGATATTTCGTGATCGTCAAAATGATATCTGTGAACGAGATTAGACGCATTGCCAATTCGAAACAATGAAGTCTTCGCTAGATTAACGGGTATTCCATTGTTACTTGCCCATTCCATCATCTGCGAGAGCCCGGCTAAGAGCGAGTTGCACCTCTAGTCTATTACTACTATTGTGAACACAGCATCGTCTGCGTACATTTGCACTTTGATAGCATGGTGTGTCTTTAGCTTGGCTGGCAGATCATGTGTGTAAGCCAGAAAAAGAAGAGGAGACAGCACACCTCCCTGTGGTACGCCACTTGTGCATGCATAACATTTAGAGAAAGAGTGTTTCAACCTTCCATGTGTGGAATCGCCAATACCGAGTTGAGAGAGCTTTGATAGAAGTCTCATGTGATTAACCTTTGTCGAAGGCTTTTGAGAGGTCGAAGTAGATGACATCCACGAAGTTACCGTCATTAACAGCCAAATTCCAGTCAAAGACACAGTCAGCCAGCTGCATTACCGTAGAAGCCCCGCGGTGAAACCGTGTTGTTCAACTGGAACGAGGCTGCGCTCAATGAACAGTTTCTCCAGCCTATCTCTGATGAGTTTCTCAAGAACCTTCGGTGGTGTGGGGGTGATACTGATTGGCCTGAATGCAGAGATCAAGAAGGAATCTTTAGTCTTTAGAGAACCTCTCCTCTCAAGTTTAGCGGAATGTTGTAAATCATTGAGAGCGGTTTCTGTAACGCGGCAGCACACTTTTTATATACGATTTGTGGGATACCATCGAACGTTGCAGAAGAGGAATTCTTGAGCGACTTCAAAACAGACAAGACCTCTTTAGGATGTACAAAAATGTCGTATTCAAACGAAGGCACCGAGATGACGCGATGCTCCAAAATGGGTGGCGTAGTGTTATCCGGAGAGAAAACAGAAACGTAGAACCTAGCTAATGCTTCGGCTTTATCGCTATCATTATAAAATTGATTATCCAATTCGCAAACGCACCAATTCGATGCAGGACTTTGCCAAGCCACATTCCACGAGCGAAGGGAAACAATCCTTTCTCAAGAAGGTTCCCCCGATATTGTGGATCGAAAGTGTATGGCACAAGGCTATATACGGTAAAAAAGGGATAGACAGAGAAAACAGACTAGAATAAGAAAGAGAGACACGAAGGGGGTGCGTATGTGTGCATGAGGAGAGGTAAACAAAGCAAAGTGACGGGGAACGAATATAGGAGAGAAGCGGCGAGTACTAACAATGGGTGTAATTACAGGTTGGGGCATAAATATGGTGACAAAGTAATTGTGGACTAGTTCGAACCAGAAAGGTCGAAACGGGATACCAAGAACAACGTATAGCATCCTCTATCCTCTTCGCATGTGAACTTCGAGTTATCCCACAAAAAATCACCTTTGCCCACATAGCATTCCACACAACTTCATCTCATATCGGCTGTTAGTAAACCATTCAAACTTTGTTAATTCGCGCACTTCTTCAGCCTTCAACACTGACCACAATAAATCATCCGCTACATTAAAATCGGAGGTTTTGGCTGGTCAATCTTTGTGCAACCCGAAGTCGGACAAATGGGCTCTGCAGCAGACTTCCACAAAGTCAAATACATAAGCAGTCCATCGCCTTGCTAGTGAATCAGATCGGTGTGAGTAGTAGAGGCGACGAGTGTTTTATCTAAATACTATTATATTTTGATAGCGTTCAACTTAAAATTCTGCTCCCAGAGGCGAAAACTAATTGAGATGAAGAAGTTGCGGCGACTCACTATGTCCCAGTTCATCCCACGTCGAGCTAACACCAAAGGCTGTCGCTCTCATACCTGCGTTGATTCCTGCTCCGCTCTAGTGTCTCAAACGGCAAATAATTAGCTCCTAAGGTTTCCTCGTATTGATACGTGCAATCGTTCTGCTTTCCGGCTGATGTGTCATAAAACGATGCATGGGTAGCGTGACTCGATTCCTATTGGCACCACTACCAGCTCCGCCTGGCATCCAACTGACGCACCCGAGAACCTACGCCACCCATGTTATTCATTCTATTCCTGCATTGATATTTCATAATTCGTTCACTTGCTGCCTACTATTCTATTATAAAGGTCTTAAATGTTAACCCGAGTGCTTCTCACTGCTGTTCCAAGAAGATTATAACAAGGGTAACAGCACAAGTCACGACCACCACATTTTAGACTTCCGAGCCAAGCCCAAATCTCCAGCGTATACATTAGCCCCGTCCTCATCTCTTTATAGTTGGCGCACGATCTCCCTACCCAGTTCTCGTGAACTGACGCCTTCGTCGTTGCTTGTCAGTGAGCCTATAACACTCTCTGATCGACTCTGAAACAGCATATTCGATTTTCTACGTCATTTCCTATTTTCTACCCACTGTAGAGTTTCCTGTGTCAATACCGTGGCAGAGTCAACCCTGCGTTGCGCAGTTCGCAACGGCACGTTGAGAGATCCTCAACGCACGCTGTATGGGCGGAGACGCAGACGGCTCGAGCATGCGAGTGTGAATGTTCGCGCGAGAGAACGTGTCTAATCGGGCGAAACTGCGCAACGTGGCCGTTGAGAACTGCGCAACGCAGGGTTGACTCTGCCGTGGTGTCTTGGCCTTTAGAAGTGACACTGTGGAATGCGTCGGAATAACTATCCGTGCTGAAGCAGGGACGTAAAGGAAAAGGCCAAGACACACACTCCGCTTCGATACTGGCATAATATTCGCGAAATGTCTCCTATTGTGCAAAATAATCCGACACCATTCTTGTGACAGAACAAACTTGCTTTGTTCCGGAGTCGCAAGAGCCAGACCAGATGGCTTGGTGGAATTGAGGACACGCGCAGTGCCCATAGTTCTGGTTTAAAATCGGACGTCGAAATGCAGGCATGCCTTAAGCTTGTAGGGAAGGCAGAAATTCCGATACACTTCCCTCTAGGCGATGCGAGGCGTGACCAAATATAGGCATAGTGCGAAGCATGGCACGCATACAGAAGATTAGAGCGACTAAAGGTCACTGTAGAGAATCGCTGCAGTGTCATAGCCGCACTAGATGTAGTGAAACAGTGCTAGGACGAGAACGAAGAAGAGGATTCAGCTAGTAATCTTCCTTATGAACGGGGAAACCCTACAGAGGGTAGCACGTAACTGTATTGCGCTGACCATGAAGTTAAGGACTATGTAAAAAAAAAGGTGATAAAGAGCAATAAAACGTGGAAAACACAATTTTGTCGCTTACAGGAGCTGTGCAATAAAAGGGACTACGAGATCAGCGCCTCCAGGGAAGCGCTCGAGAAAGCTCTACTAACTCTACTCTATGGAATTGATCCTGTCATACTCTCAAGTACCATACCAAATGCTGATGTTTCCAAGTACAAGGTGTTTGTCGACGATTATCCAACAGAATTACTTGGTGGGCTTCCAGCTGATTAGAGAGGAGGTGCAAGCCAAAAATGAGAAATATAGGGCCAAAATGAAGGAAGTATGTGAAGTGAAGTGATAAGCGTATGAACGTGGACGTTCTTTCTCTTCCAGCGGTGGGAGGAAGGGCGTTCGTGAATTACCAAGGCAGAAGGCCCGAGGATATCCCAAATTGACTACAGACCGGGACGGCCGTATAGCGTATTGCAAGCTGACGAAACCTCAGATCACTAAAATAGGCAGTGGCGAGGATGCAATCAAGGTTCGGTATGACTTACTTCTCAAGTGCCCAGATGAAATCCTAATGAGCAAGTGAGCGGGAAGGTCAGGAGGAAAGAAGTGAAGAGAGTCTTCAAAATTTCCGTATCTGTTCCTCAACTTGCTTATTGCTACCATTCGCGATTGAATTTTTGTTGTTTTCTCGTTCACTTCCTGTTTATCCTTTCACTTTTCTACTTATATGCTCTTGACCATCTCAGAAGTTGATCGTTTTCCCTCGTAATCGATTTGGCGCCAAAATGGGGGCTGCGTGGGGAATACGAGGGATTGGATAGTGAGTCTGTTTCCTGGTACTGCGCCTCGTTGTATTCTCTGCTCAAGTCTGTTCCTGGTACTGCGCCTCGTTGTATTCTCTACTCGAAGTCTTCTTGCACCTCGCCACTAATATTCTCTGTTGTACAACTGTTTGCATTGTATTGATAAATATTTGTGTTATTCGCTGTTCCTGTGCTAAAAGAAACCATCAGTTACAATCAGTCAACTTATTGCGCATTTCAGGAAGGAACTCGAGTTCAATGTTTCAGACGACAACCAAACGCCCAGTTTCAATGTCGAGGCCAGGACTTTCCACCGTTTGAAGGAGGGCCAAGCTTCTCACTTGCGAAGTGCTGCCCGTCGATGATGCTAAATCAATCACAGCATTGTCCATCCGGCGAGGACCATGCCGATTTATTTGGTGTGGAAGCGACCCGCGTCTTCACAATTTAGACCCAACCCGGCTCGGTAGCGATGAAAGCACTGCGCTTTACGAACTTGGATGGAAAAGTCATCGACTCACGTGCGCTGGCTTTGCATATGCGGTAGCAAGCGCGCCCATGTCAGCAATATGACGCGGGCCATGGCTACCATCATACGCCACGGGTCTTTACAGGAGGATGGCCGACGGTGCCGAAAAGAGTCTTTGAGCTCGGTTGGCTGATAGCGAGGAAAATAGATTGGAACGATTTCGATTCAAGTTCGATGTTGAACCAGTGCATAATCGCATTCTCATTGTTGTGCCCATGGTGTTGAGAAGAATGGCGTGGATGTCTGGCGGCTGTCGTACACGCGTGCTCTTCTATGGTGATTTTTCAGCAATCGAAACAAAGCTGGATGGCCTCTTTTACAATTGATTTTAGAGCCGTGGTTCTGATTCTGCCGGCGGAGGAGCTGCGCAAAGTCACTGTATGGGTCACGATAATGTCTTATTTAGATCTCTGGACTACCTGCGGT